TTCCCAAAGGACTAGCGATGCAATCCGGACAGAAGTGCGGAGAGTTGACTTCTTCCGGAATAAACACTTCGAAGGCCCAGGAGGCTTTCCATTTTCATGGAGTTGATGGAAAAAGCAAACTCCATACTGGGAACTTCCACACGAGTACAAGTACATCAGGAACGTGTCTAGGAGCAACACCTCATTGTCTGTGTCCTCTTGGAAGGGATCTCTTGCGATATCACACAAATTGCATATCTCACACTCCGGACTGGCAACCGGTCCCGTACGGAGTTCCCACAGTTTCCCTAGAGTGATGTTCACGGCCTCGATGACGTTCTGAGAGGCCACGTAGACCTCTTGGAAAAGGGAGTTGGTAACTATGTTCTGGATGGGATTGCGGGTCTGAAAGTAAGTCATTGGGTACGGCACCGAGAAGTCCACAGCGATGGGGGCCGTTGGGGGACAAGAGTCTAATGCAGACATTACAGCCTGTATCCAGACACATGTCACCAGATGAGTGGCCCAATGGACCATGTCCACTCCAGGGTGAATAAAAATGGCTGTGGTGTGTTTCGGTTACCTCCAGCAGGCATCTGTCAGAGAAGACATCCTGAAAACAGGAAGCCCTGAGTACAGAACAAACGGAAAAGAAGCTTTATTTAAAATGGTTAATCAATAGCTCAAACAAAAATGATAATTCTGTCATCATTTAGTAGTCTAACCCTAAGTGATCCTACTATCTTACAAAAAAGGTTTCAGAATCTAAATTATAATAAAATGACATAATGGAGGGAAACATTTCAATGACCACAAATAATTCTGACATCAGTAAGTCTATAAACACCAACAGAGGTTTTGCACATTCATGTCTGTCTGTGCCTCCAGCTTTAAGTCATGTCTCTGCAAGAGAAAGTCATTAAAGGTAAAAAACAGCTATTTTGTACAACTCGGAGATAACAGAATGTTCTATGTAATATTTCTTGGTTTTCCTCTGAGTTATTTATTAACAGAGCTCATCACCATGTTCTACACTGAGGACCTCTCTAATTGACATTCATGTCACAATCTAGACGTGCTCTTTTGAGCAAAAGTTGCAAATGGTCTGTTCCGCTTTTCAGTCAAACGGTTTTTTAAAGTAACAAATGAACTAATTACTTTTCAAAATCGTGCCACAGCATTTGCACCGCGGAACAGAATGCATTACATATATAGAATTTATTTATCTTTAAGGAAACAATGGAAAGTAGTATGTGTTTCTTTAAAAAAGATCTCGACCTTAAATGGATCACATGTCTCTTTTGATTGCTAAATGCAAATAACAAACATACAGTATAACGATGCATAGTTATGACAGAAATATGAATAGGCAGGCTTATCAACTTTTAAAGGATCCTAGTGAAAAACTCCTTTTTTAAATATTCAATTACTTGAATCCAGGCTTACATGACTGCCTTACCATGTGCCATGTAAAACATGCTAGTCTTTGTTATATTTGCACTGATAAAAAATAATAATCTCAGTCCCCAAACTTGTAGAACTTGTACTTGCTCAATCAAAGTGATGGATGCTCCATTTTAATTATTTGTAACAAGGATATAAAGTTTAGGCAACGATTGAGCTTAACCTAAGGTTGTTTAATCCATGAAAAGGTTATTTAATTTGTGTCTGATATCACCGGATCAATCCTATTTGTAATGGTTATTGGTTTAAAGGAACAAAACAAATTTGCGATGCTCTGTAACTATGAATATAATTGGCTACCCTTCTTGTTATTTATAAATTCTTATAATTATTATAGAACCAATGATGCTGATAGATTTTATAATGTAATGATGCAGGATAGGGGCCGTGTACAAAGTACAAAATGAACAAAAGACAATAAATTATCTAATTCTTACAAGGATTGATTACAAAAAAATGTAAACTTGTAAATAGGCCTACCTAATTCAATATAGTATAATTTAATATACATATATTAAATAATATTTCAATATTTATTTTAGGATAAACAGACAGTAAGATAAGAACACACAAACCTGTTAATGATGATGATGACGATAAACCAGCGAAGAACAGATCTCAGGACAGATGAATAACTGCATTTCCAACTCTAGACGTGTAACGTTAGACACTTCAACGAGTGAAAACAATGAAAGAAAGGAAACAACTTTCCAAATATTTGAACAGAATATATTGACTTTCGTTTATACATAAAACCAGATAAGAAACGTTAGCAAAACATTTTAGAGAGCTGTCTTGGTGTTTGGGACGGCTGCTCGTTTCGTTTGATGCACGAGCGCCGCTGACTGAAACTGATAGGCCCCGCCCACCAGCATACGTGACTGAACCTTGACTTATACAGTCAATGAATGGAATGAACGCTACTATGGTGACGGCATTTTTCATTAATACTATTGACGCATGCAGACATTCTTAGAGAACGTTATCTAATTCATATTCATTAGCCAATCCTAGTAGGCATAGTAGGAATCAATATTATTCCTTTAATGAACAGAATAAATAAATCTCATGAATACAACGTCCATGTCTAATGTAATGCGTGTCACTGTGGTTGTGAGAACACAAATGCGCTATACAAACCCTCAAACTTTTTAATCTAATTCAAACTGTGCCAAAAACATTATCGATATATGACCATGAATTCTTATACTTGTTGAGTGAGGATTTTCAGAGAAACCTCTCATTGTTAAACATGATTGTAATATACATACAGCTTATAAGTGGCTGACATCACCAAACTTGATCTGAAATCCAAATATCTGGTGTTAATCTTACACTAGGTTACATTGTTAATAATTATCAAGTATAAAAAAAAAACACCTGATTTCTGGCACACAGTGTTTGACTTAACCCTTATGACAGAAAAACTCTTAACCATTCTGCATAATGCTATGGAATCATATGTACAGAATTATGGCAATGTTTTTGGTTGTATTTACATGCATATTTGTTTGTGATATGAAAATGTATAGACCAACATGAAGGGTATTTTGATTACTAATCTTAAAATATGTTTTGTCATATAACCCTTAATGTTCCAACTGTCTTTTCAAGTTGAAAACTACATAATAGCTTATAGGGGTCATCGGATACAAAATTTACTTTGATATGGTAGATGTGTTTTTGCAGTGTGAAGACAACCAACATACAATGAAAAAAAATTCATTCACTCCTTTTTTAATCCTCAACAAGCATAAACACTTAATAATCAAGCCGTGAGTAATTTTAACCAAAGTATATTACAAACTTTACACGAAGAAGACCCTGAAGAATCCAACTTGTGGAAAATGGGCATCCGATGACCCCTTTAAAATAGAGCCAATGATGCAAATGGTCAATATTTATATTTCCTTGTGTTTAATTTAACATTATTTTATGGTATCTGATTTAATGAAAAACATATTTCAACTTATTCATGGCAAACCTTTTTGTTCTTCTAATGTTATATCATAATACCATTTTTTTTTTTACAGATATAATGGTATTATTATTTTGTTTCAAATAAAAATATTATAATATGTTATCCACACTATTATATTATAATAGATTATATTATAACATGTTATTAGCTATGAAGGGGCTTGAATACTCGACTTACATTATCAACATTAAAGTACTGCTTGATAAATTATGTTTAATTAAATCTCAAACCTAATTTCATATGATCTCTTACCGTGTCCTCAAAATGCAATGTATAAGTGCATTATTTATCTTCAAAATACTACTATAAAAATATACAAAGCACACCTAAAGTGTGAAAATGTGCTGTAATTCAACTTTCATCTATATGAAATTATTACTCCCTGTTACTTTTCTCCCTTTCTAATTATTCTGCACATCGACAAGAATATAGCGAGGGATTTTGATCATTCAAATTTTAGTGTTTAATAAGACTGCTAATAAAGTAACTGTTAATAAATGGTTATTTTACATGATTAAATTCCTGATTAGAAATATAAAGACTTATTACACAGGTGATCATTTTCAACAAATACATTTCTCTTAATTAATCAGAAAAGCTTGAAACTGCTTTACATTGACAAAACTGAGCATCTAAATACTAAAACCAAAAGAAAACCTCCTAAAACAGATTTCAGATGGGAAAAAGTACTGGTCCCAGCAGAAACAGGTCCCTGTGTCATATTTTTTGCTTCATGGAGACATGAAAAATTAAATATGTTTACTCCTGGGGGTAGTGTAATGTTCCTTAGTGTACTGTTACAGATGTTTTGGCTTGCGCATCCTTTGAGATTAAGGTTCGTGCCATTAAATCCAACTGGCAGAAAAAAGAGAAGAGGAAAAGGATTTGTAGAAAGCTTTCAGCAGAAATGAGTCTTGGTGGTAAAACATAACTGTTATTCATTCACATTATAAAACAGCAATCTGTGCATTGTAGCTTAGAATTGAATCAGCAATTGTCTATGAATCACCTGTTACAGTGAAGCACTGGTTCTCACCAACTTTACATTTCAGTGTGCCGCCTGTGACATCGCAGCTCAATCCGTTCTCTGAGTCTGAAGGTGTAAACAAAAGCAGAGCCAGTTGAACATCATACATTAAAAAGCCTTAGCAACTGTCACCATATTGTCAGAGACTTTCAAAAAGGACACAAAACACAACAAGTGATCCATAGGGCTTGTGCATTATATTTATATATTTATATTCGCATTATATTTATCTTCTGAATCTATACAAGGGCTTTGTTTGAAGAACATACTTATTTAAACAGTAACATGTCTTCTGTTTAAATAAGATCTCTTCTTTTGAGTTCTCTTCTCTTTTCCCTGATTCAGTTGATCAAGTTTGCCAAAGCAGTCAGAATGACTTGGTTCTTAATTTCAAATCATTGATTAACTATAGAAATAAAGATTATGAGTGAATAATGACATAAATATGAATGGGTTAATCTGTGCCCTTTTTGAAGTTTGAAACTTCCATTCATTGCAAATTAAAACAAATGATCATTTTGTATTACATGGAAGACAGAAAATCATACAGGTTGGAACAAAGTTAACAATGACAATTACGCATTGTTACAGTGATCGTACTAGCAACTAAAAGATCACAGTACCATTGTGGAAATGTTATGTAAAATTAATATAAAACAAACCTTTTCAAAAAATGTAATGTATAAATTTGAATAATCTGAAGTTTCCTTTACATTTACATGTTTATAGTACCTGTAGCATTGTTGCAGTAATCTGAAGAACAGCATTTGGAGGAGATCCTGATCAATGCAGAATTTATGGTCAAATTAACACACGGGCCAGTGTCGCAACTCTTCACATCAACATTGTTTCTGCCATCTACAATCAACAACATTAAAAATAATCAAGTTCACGAGCAAACCCAGTCAATAACACAATCCTTTATTATTATATAATAATGTTATTATTACCGATTGAGGCCATGGTCGTGTTCGTGGAACTGCACTGTGAACAGTTAGCAGTTGATGTGCATGTTGCAGGTGGAGTCCCGGTACAGTTGAAACATGTCAGTGTCAGTGCTGAAAGACAATGACAAGATAATGAGGGACATTCATAGCGTGCATATAAAGCCTTTTAAAACATTTCTAAATGTTTTTTTTTTTTAAAACAATGAAATAAATGTCTGCAAAAGACTCACACATTTGTTTTATAAAAGTGCATTTATCAGCAAAGCTATAAAAGAAATGGATGGACACAATAAATCCTGTATGACGTACCTTCGGAGACGAACACAGTGAAAAGAACCACGGTGATGATGTGCAGTGCCATGATCCAGATGAAGGGTGTCAGATGGACAGTGTGAGAATATTATATACTGAATTTACAGAGGTGGGGTTTGTGTTAGATTTACAGCATGATATTCCTTTGCATAATCAAAACACGATTACGCAGGTTTACATGTCCTTATGACACTACTGAGG